GCAGGGCACCGTGTGCTGTGGGAACTTAAGGAACGACATTGACCAGCAGACCTTTCCCAAGAGGCTCCCGTGGGCAGGCCCCACGTGAAAGCAGCTCACAGTTTGGTCAAGGAGACACTGAGTCCAGGCTACACGTCGGGGGCTACGTGATGAGCTCCAGGTTCCGCAGAGCCGTGGGGGCAGGGGAGGGGCACCTGGAGGGATGGCAGATGGGGCTGGGATTCAGGGGTGTCATTCCTAGCATACTGAGGTTGGTTAGAAGGGTGGTGTGAAGGCGGATTTTACACGTCGGGCTGACTGGGCCACGGGACGCTGAGAGGTCTGGCTCAGCATCACCTGGGTGTATGTACCGCTGAGGGTGTTTCTGGATGAGATTAGCATCCGCATCAGTGGACTGTGACCTGCCTGCCACCCCCAGCCCATTGTCCAAGTGGGTGGGCATCACTCAATCAGTGCAGGGCCGGAATTGAACAGAAAGGCCAGGGAAGAGCAAATCTGCTGTCTCACTGCTGGGCTGGGACATTCTCTTGAACTCTGAACAGGGGTGACAACTCCTGGTTCCTGGGCCTGCAGACTCCATGAAAACAACGCCGTCTGCTCTCCAGGGTCCCCAGGTTGTAGAAGGCACAGCTTCCTCCAGGAGGCTTCCTGGCCTCCGAAATCACATGAGCCAGTTCCTCATGATCAATGAATCTCCTTCTCTCTGTATCTATACATCCCGCTGGCTGTTTCTCTGCAGAACCCCGACTAACCCGGTGGGCCCAGCTCCTAAGGAGAACCAGTGGTTCTGTGCGGCTGGATAGGAGGGCCTCAGGACGCAGGCACCAGCGCACGGCGGGGAAAGCAGGCTGTGCTGAGCAGCCTGGCTTCTGTCTCACTGGACTGGAAGCAGATGGGCGACCTGCCCCATCTGTGGGCTGCAAAGACATTCCGGCCACAGGGTGGAGAGCAGCTTGCAGGAGGCGGAGGGGGTGGGGTGAGAGGCGGCTGCAGCAGGAGCTGACGTGCCCTGGACGGGACGCAGCGGCAGCAGCAGCGACGGCCAGAAACGACGGCTTGTCCAGCAGCACTAAAGAGTCAGAAATGACAAAGCTTGGAGATCACACAGACCAGGGGCAGACGAGTGACGGCTTTCTGCACACTGGGCCAGGACAGTGGGGTGAAGGGCAATAACAATTCAGTGAAATGCAGACTTTTCTGTGGTCAAGTAATTACGATGATTTTGAGGACGTTGCCAGTGCCCTTACCCTTTGAATAATATAACTTCAAGTTTAATCATAATTGCAGATGTTTTATAAGATTCAAATTCTCTGAAAACTGACCGGAAGAGACCAGTAACCCTGCTTAGAAAACCGAGGGCTCCCGCCCTGACCTCCGCCGCCCTGTGAGGTGCAGGGTCGCAGGTCTGACACGGCCTGGGCCCTGGGAGGGCCGCTCACAAGAGGCGGCTGAGAGCTTCGCTCTCACACTGGCATTTCTTCACTTCTCCTTCTCCCTCCCTTCTCTTATCTCTAAAAATAAATACAAAAAATCTTTTAAAAAACCCCAGGGAACGGGTGGCTGCCCACTATCCGTGTGGGGCGGTGCGTCTCTCGGAAGAGCACTCCCACCAGAGGGCCCTGGACCCTCCCAGGCACACGGAGCCCTGCTGCTTCTCACTCAGAACTTGCACTGTCCTCTCGGCTGGAGGCCTCGTCTCCCCAGGTGGGGGGTTAAATTCATACTTTTTCAAAACCACGTGAAGTCGAATGTGATCTCCTTGAAGGAGCCTTCCCCCACCCCCACCCCGCAGGTCACGGGGCCCCTTCTCAGAGCCCCTGTGTTTTGTACACTCCGCACCATCTCATCACAGACTGCAGTCGCTGTCTCCTTGGCTCTCCGCGAGCTTCCTGAGAACAAAGACCCCACTCTCATTCCTGCCCGGTTCCCAGGGCCTGCCCAGCAGCGGGCACGGGTGCTGCTGGGGCCCAGCCGAGCGCCCACGAGGCCATCCCCACAGACAGAATGTTCAGTTCTAGGCCTGGGATGTGCCGCTCACCAGCAGAGCGTCTCATCCTGTGCTTGCGTAACCTCCGCAAAAGGACAAATTACCTCATGCACAGATCCCCGGGCTGCCCTCAAAGTCAAATCGTAAATGTTCATTCTGTGCAGGCCACGCCAAGGTCTGCTTGTTTTCCAGAAGCTTCGAACAGCAGCAAGTGACACAGCTGTGATACAGCAGCTTAAGGTCCAAGGCTCCTGTGTCACCGAGGCCCCCGAGACTGCTTCGAGCAGACCGTGATAGAACACCATGGACACCCCGATGGGGGAGACCCTCTGGCAGCTTCCGCCTCTCAGGGTGGCTTCCTAGCTCCCAGCAGCCCCGTCTCTGAGACAGGCCCACTGTCGGGGGCTGGGGCTGGGGCAGAACAGAGCCACAGAGGGCGTCCCCGAGCCCTTGCCCTCGCTGTAAGCAGCAGGACGGCCAGCGACCATGTAGAGAAGACACGTGGGGTGTCACCGGTGGCGGCAGCCCCGAGCCGGTGGGCCCCAGGCTTCCTGGCATCAGCTGACCCTCTCGCCTGTGGCTCCCGTGACATCCCCCTCCTGTGGTCTCATGAAAGCTCAGGCTGGGTTCTTCAAAGCCCAACGAAAAGAACACCAATGCCCCCTTCCAGCCCTCTGGGGTCTGCTCGCTCAGGCCAGACCTTCCTCACACACCTCGGCACCCAGCTCACACCCGTGACATTTCTCGTACAAGGGGCCCATTTGATTTTAGGACCTTCTTGCCTAATGGGACTATCAGCTCCCGGCGAGGTCAAGGTCAAACACTCCCGTGTACTGTCCGCAGGCCTAACGTCAGCACTTTGCCCAAGGAGTTTATGACTCACCGAAGGACTCAGACACCCACCAGAAGGGCGAGTGACGACAGGACAGTGGCATCTGTGGGTCCTTGTCGGTGCCGCGGGGGAGCCTGCTTACTGTGAGACGGTCCCAGAACTCTGATTACTAGAGGAGCTGGGGTCTACTTAGTGTGTTAGTTACACGGTCGCCCCGGGTGGGGCCTTGCTCTGGAATCTGTGGGCACAGCACGGGGGGGTGGTGGTGGTGGAGTCTCTTCTTTATCTTCCTTCTCAATACCCAACTCTCCATGTTACCCAAAATGCGCCACAGTGGGGCCCTTTCTTCTTCTGAAAGCACAGAAATAAGTCCAGTAGAGATTCAACTGGGAGAGTCTGAATGGCCACGTCCATTTTCCTCTGGTAGCTTTCTCTAGTCAGAAACAAGCGTGGAGGTAAAAACTGGTGGCTTCTACGGACCTGAAAGTGCAGCCTCCTTCCCTCTTACTATTTTCAGGCTGAGGGATCAGGCCGAAACAGTGAGGAATGACTAGGATTTTGCAAATGCTGAAAACAAATGCCAAACCGAGGGATGTGGAATTCGTTCCATTATTTAAGTAGTTATAGAAGGTAATTCTAGCAGTGTCTGAAACTACAGTCACTCTCATCACCCCAAATACTGAATATTATTACCCTGTGTAGCGAATCTACCACTCCCCCGAGACAAAGCTGAAAGACCACGGGAGGGGCTGCGGTTTGCGGGCCGGGCCGCACTCATCGGTGGAACCTTTGGGAAGCTGCACCCTGACCTACACAAAATGGGTGGCCTTCTACCTGTGGGGCCGCGGAAGAGGAAATCGACACACAGCTGCAAGCTGTGCTGGGATGTGCATTCGACTCCGTAGGAAACAAAAAAAAGTATCGGAATCTTGGGACACTACCCTCAGGCAAGGCCTGTGAGACAGTTTCGTAGTGAAACCCTCTGAGATGGGGAGGAAAAGGACGGCTGGAGACCAGTGAGGGGAGGAGAGGGAAAAAGAGAGCTCTCACTGGAGCAGGCAAGAGAGACAGAGGCGCGGGGAGCCCTGCTGGGCAGGGCAGGGCACATTCATTGGGTGATTAGGCCTGAGGCCAGAGGACCCAGCGCTCCCTGAGTGGAACCTCTAGGTCCAGTCCCAGTGGTTTCCAGGGGAGCCAGATCATGTGTGTGTGTCACACATTCAACCACAGCAAGTGGCGCAAAAAGAAAGAGAAAAAGTAAAGCATGAGTCGTCTCATGGTGAGGGCCCTTCTGACCGATGAGGGAGTGTGAGCCCAGAGTGCCCGTGAAGGGGGAGGCAGGCAGTCTCGGGGCCCGCGTGCCTCTGAGCCAAGAGGGATTCTAGTGTTTTGAGAAACCTATGGCTTGAGCCCTGGACAGGTAGTTCAGTTGGCTGGAGTGTTATCCTGATATGCCAAGGTTGTGGGTTTGATCCCTGGTAGGGAACATGCAAGAACCGACAAGAATGCATCAATAAGTGGAACAACAAATCAACGTCTCTCTCTCTCCCCCAAAATAAAAAGAAAAATATGGCTTGTACAACTCAGTCCCTACACGGAAACTAGCCACTTGGGGGTTCAGCTGCAGACACAAGCTGGTTGTGCCGGACACCTCGAGAGAGACACGGCTTCCAAGTCAAGGTCCTCCCGGGCAGCCAGCCCGGGAGTCTGACGGCACCTGACCCTTGCAGCCCCTGAACTTCACCTCTTGCAGAAGCCGCGAGCTTCCCCGCCTCCCTGCGTGTGCTCCTGCCACTGCCCTCATGCGAGACGCTCGCCCCTGCCCACCTGCCCTCCATCCTGAGCACCCTTCAACCAACCCTCCTGCTTCCAAAGGCATCCCCCCAGCCTGAAACGGCTCACACTCGGCTGACTCATTTCTTTGGTGACTGGTCGCCACCTCATGATAAATCTCCACACGCGTTTCCTGACACCTATGTAAATATTGTTGAGTTTACCCAGAGCAACACCTCCCACTGTATCAGGTACGCTTCCAGAGGCCGGCCGTTGAGAGCATGGGCTCCGGGTGAGCGCCTGGCTCTGCAGCCTCCAGCCTCGGACAGGCTCTCCTGACTCCAGAAGACAACACAAAACCCAACTGTCTCGTGAGTGGCAGGCAGGCGGTGTCAAGGGTGAACTTACAAACACCGAAGGGACGAAAAGGACCCCGAGCTCGTAGGAACGGATCATCAGCTGGGCGCCGTTTTTCTCCAGCGCTCCCCAGGCGGCCTTGGACAGGTTGGCGCTGCAGGGAGAGAGAGACAGGGAGGAGCTGACTCAGCGAGGCATCTCAGGGCGGTCGCAAGAGCACCGGCCAAAAACATGGGCCCCTGTAACCGGGTTCATTCAGTTTCTGGCAGAGCTGTGCATTTGGGGAAATGGAATTAAGTGCTACTGTGTCCTCAAGATGTTTCTAATTGCTAATTTGAGACAGCTTCAACCTCATTAGCATTTTCCCGAGGACAGCTGTTAAAATAATTACCCTTCCTTAGAAAAAAATTTTTTCTGTCCAAATCCTTTTAGTTTTCAAGATCCTGGTGCCATCAGGATGCCTGGTTTTGTTGTATATAAAAGTAGCATTAAAGAAATCTGTCAGTTACATCTTACACACTGGTATCTTTAGCACTGCATTCTTTTTTTTTTGCTTTTTGTGCTCAGCCAGGTAGTGCTAACTTCTTTCACTCTAAAGCAGGGGCGTCAAACTCATTTTCACCAGGGGCCACATCAGCCTCACAGTTGCCTTCAAAGGGCTGAATGTAGAGCTCCTTGCCCCTAGTTAAGGAGTAGTTACATTTACACAGCCCTAAAATTATATTCGGCCCTTGGAAGGCAACCGAGAGGGTGATGTGGCCACCGGCAAAGATGAGTTTGACGCCCCTGCTGTAAAGAAAAGCTCTGAGGGCACTAGACTGGGATTTGCATCTAAAAAGAACAGGTGCACTTAGAATCATGTTTTATATGGAAACAGAGTTACAGATGTGGCTAAAAATGACACCACGCAGCAAGAGGCAGGAGACTCGGGCCTGGCCCGATGAGGGGCTTCGATGCTTCCAGGACGCTCAGGATTGACGATGACGGGCGGAGCTCTGCCCCATCGTCTCCGAGGCTCTCCCAGAACTGTCACCCACCGGTGAGGGGGTGTAAACCCACTGCAAACATTTGTTCCCCAGTTAGGCTCATCCAACGTCCACTTCTTTTTCAGAATGTGGAGCAAAGCCTCAGCTATTCAGAGCCTGACTTTGTGGACAACCGTATCTTTCGAGATTCGTTCACTCGGCCACCCAGGTTTCTCCTTAACTGAGGGCAGGGACTGGCGGGAGTGGGACAGCGAAGTGAGGGGAAAGGAACTGCGACCGCTTCGGGGCTCTACGGGAGCAGACACGGAGGGCGACAGAAATCGGGGCTGAGGAAACTCGGAAAGCGGTTCGGCTAACTTATACAGACGTGGACCTCCGTGCCTTCTCTCACGGGCAGCCCAAGGGCCAGTCGTGAACACCAAGGTCTGCGACGTGTCACAAGGACAGGACATGCTGAGGGAGTGGAGGCTGCCGATCACGTGGAACGATGACTCGAGAACCTTTTCTCTCAAGTCCAGATGACAGCTTGTAGGTCTCTCGCTGGTCAGTAACCTAAGGTGACCTGTCGAGGCAGAGACACCGGTCTGTCTGCAGGTCCAGCCAGCGAGTGCGAGCGGAAGTGGCCACAGCCTCCTGGCAGCTGTTCTCCCGGTTCCCATCACCGCTTCCCGGCGACGCCCTCGGCTTGTCGGCGTCTTACCTCCACAGGCCAGCGGTACCTTCCGGAAAACCTACTCACTCTGTCCTGCCCGGCTGCGTTTTCCTCCACATCCCAAGACCTGAGCGAGGGTGAGATCACGGGCGCCCATGAGGACACCTCTGTGGGTGGCTCCCCCACCCCTCCTTTGTATTTAGCTTCTAACAGAATTCTAGGCACCTTCAACTCCACCCTGAGTAACGGGACCAAAGTCCCCTGCAGGCTGTGCAGGTGAAAGGGCGACACGCCTTGAAGTGGCGTCTTCAGCAACTTCGCTCTGACTATACTTTGGATCGCTGGCTTGGCAGTCAGGATGCGGGTGCACACTCGTGTTTCCAAACTCCGACCCAGGCTGGTGGCTGAGTGTGGTCCGGAGGCACAGGGACCACACAGAGCTGCTTACAACAAGCTCTTTTGTTCCCCAAACTCCGAGGCAGGTCTAGCTTCTGGTCTCCTCCATCCAGGAACCAGGTCCACTACCTGTGGCTGCCGGCCGAGGCCAGTTCCAGCATCTCACTGCCTCCGCCCAGGCTCCTCCGTCTCCTGCCGGACTGGGCTGCTCCCTCCCCGCAGTGCTGTGGCTTAGTTCACCGATGTTGTTGGGTGCTGAACGATGCTTCATCGCCAAAGGGGGGGGCGTTGTCGATTGACTCTGCATGTTTTGGCGTGTGGGATGATCTGCATGCTGGACGTCCAGAGCTGTCCTGTCCGCCAGGAGCTCTGCCCGAGCCACTGCTGGAGTCATGGTGTGTTCAACGGAGGCCTCTGGGGGTGTTGTGTGGGCAGTCAGGGTGCGACTGGAGAGACGGAACCACGCAGGGGCACCTGCGTGTGTGCACATGCACATAACGACACACACGGGGACCTGATATGTAACTGCGGGACCTGGGAAACAGTCTGTAACGCTGCGTCATCACCCTGACGCTGGAGCCTGGAGTCTGCAGGGCAGGCGGGAGCCAGGGGCGGACGGGAATAAAGTGGAGGAAGCAACAGGCAACGCACTGTAGTCACAGGTGTGGACGCAACCGGGTCAGCAGCCGCTGCCTCCAGCCCTGGGAGTGTGGGTGTCCTGCAGTGGCCAGGCCCTTGGCCACAGAGCCGGACACAGCCTTGGTGAGGACCGGGGGTTAGGGAAGCGGAAGCAGGACCCAGGGACAGGTGCAGCGACCTGAGGCCCAGCTGCTGCCTTGTGTCAACAAAGGCAGCCAGCACAAAGCGACAGCACCGTAAAAGTGGCTGCTGCTCCAGGCTGCCCCGAGTCCCCACAGGAATCTCCTCCGGGGCCCATCCTCGCCAAAACACACGGGAAAGAGGATCCTGGGAAATGTGGTCCAGGCTCAGCGAACTGACACCTTGCAACGAACGGACCGACGGTCACTCAGTCGGGCAGTTTACAGGCCTCTCGACAACAGGAAGCTTGGCTGGCGGCGGCTCATGGCACAGCTTGTGCCGCGTGGCTGCTAATCAGACACCTGATCTCAGCCCACAGTGGGAAATTCTGTTCCAAAGTTTAAACCGTGCAGAGCAAATTTAAACTAATAATAACGTGTAACAAACGGGCCCTAAAGGAAAGCTCCAGAAAGCACAGATTCTCCCCAAGGTACCCAGGGAAGCAAGGCCAGTGCCGAGGAAAGATGCCTGGACCCCAAACCAGGAGACAGGGTTCTGTGCCGTGTCCCCACTAACTGCGACACCCTGAGGCACTCTCCTCCCCCGGCTTCGCTCTGCCTGTAGAACGAGGGGTTTTAGCCACGAGATCAAACATCCCTTCCCAGACCACGGTCTACAATGATGAGAGCCGTCCACCCTCACACCTCACTGGGGGGCTCCCCTCCCTCCACCTGTTTTCCAACCACACGGACAAAACCATGATTTTCACGGGAAACTCCCTGCTGAGGAGTGTTGATCCGAATGTTCATGATGATGTGTTGAGGGAACAGCCATCCGAGAAAGGAGACGGGGGCAACGGAGGGACCTCTGGGCCACACCCTGCCACACCTGCATCTGTGAATGTCTAAAATTTGTTGACAGCAGTAGCGGCACCGGCTGCCCCCAACTCTGGCCTGAGCAGCTGTTCCAGCGGCTGATTATGTGCTTTCAGGATTTTATTGGAAGGAGGACGAATCCCCAAGTTGGCTGCTGTGATAGGGACGTGTTCAGGGACAAACGCCTCTTCTCATGGTGGGCACTCGATGCAGGCAGCGGCTGCAGGGCGTGTGGAGGTGAGGACAGACTCAGCTTCCAGTCACACGTCCCCAAGGACCCTGCGGGTGGGGCGCAGACGCTGCCACAGCCAGTGCTCCGACGGGGGTGTGACGGGGAAGGGAGGACTCGCGCCAGGACTGCAGTCGCCAGCCGGTGCCTGCCACAGCTACACTGACGCTGAGTCGTCCTCCCCTCTGCAACGGCCTTAGGTTTTCTTGTCCTGCCCTTGGCCTCTGCTGCTTTTGATGGAATGAAAAGGGTTCCCAAGTAACACTGACAGACATCCTCACTGTAAAAAATTCAAGTTGTAGGCCCAAAACCATAGTCTCTCATTTGGGGGGAGTTTTCCAATTTCCCTCTAAAACGGCTTCCTGTTTTGTGATGACCCATAAGCCTCTTTTCTTGGGTCCTTGGGAACACCAGGTGGATAGTATCTATGAAAATGTTCGCTAATCTAGTAGGCGAATGTTTCTCAGCTCTGAGCTACCCACTTAAAAACTGTTATCTGTCTGTTTTACCCAGAAGCAGGGGCGCCGGGCTCCTACCGGTGCTCTAACAAGGCGCCGCCGATTTAGTGGCTGAAACAACAATCTCACCCCTCACGCTCCCGCCGTGGATCCTGCTGGACGGCAGCCACGGCGCTGGCAGCTTCCCGCCCCCTCTCCAGTTCTCTGCAGCCTCACTCGCTCAAACAACACTCTAAACCCGGTGGTCCTCTGTACTTCTTATCCTTCTAGACCAGTGCGTCTCAACTGGGGTGGTCTTGCCCTTAGGAGACCTTAGCAATGTCGGGGAACGTATTTTGTCGTCACAAGTGGAGGGCGGGTTGCTACTGGCATCTGGTGAGTAGAGACCACAATGCTGCAACAATGCACGAGACTGTCCCCATAACAAAGAACGGTCTGGCCCCAAATGTCGACAGCGCCGAGGCCCGTAAGTCCTGCCCCAGTCCTCTCAGCCGCACGGCCGGCGCTTCTCCGCCCTCTCCGCATCTCCCTTCCTCAGCTTTCCCTTCACCGACTGCTCTGCCCCTCTCTCCTTGGCTGCCCTTCCCACCCTGTGCCTCCTAAACCTGTGCTCTGTCATCCGCTCAATTCTACCATCTCCTCTTCCTCGGGGACTTTCCTGCTCACCAAATGCAGTGAGCACCTTGACGGGGACCCCGCCCAGGCTTCTCCTGCTTTGACCAAACGAGCACGTCTAACCACAAGCTGGACACCTGTCGGGAGGTCACCCTGCCACCTCAAAGCCAGTCCTGCACCCAGC